CTCTTTTATCATGTAAGTTCTTAGAATGAAGGCACAGAAAATGTGTATATACTAATCTTACATGTTGATAAGTCACTGTTCTATAATAACATATAACATTTTTATTTTATTAAGGCAACATTGGCTCAAAACGATATAATTTTTAGGTGTAGAACATTACAATTCACCATTTTATATACTACAAAGAGTCTAGTTTCCATCCATCACCACACAATTGGCCCTCTTTACCCATTTTGTCCTCCCTCCACCCCTTAACCCCTCAGGTAACCGCTCATCTGTTGCCTGCCTCTCTGTTGTTTTGTGTTTGTTTGTTTGCTTAGTGTTTTCGTTTGTTTGGTTGGTTGCTTTTTTTGGTGTGTGTGTGTGTGTGTGTGTGTGTGTGTGTGTGTGTCAGTGTGTGTGTGTTTGACTTGGCATACCAAAGTAGGGTCTCTGAAAATTGTGTTTTGCTTTAATATTAAGACATTCTTTGATGATTGTGAATGTCTTCTATCAAGTAGTCAATGCAACAAATTTCTGAAGCCAACATTTCTGCTTTACTAAAGCTAGAGCTGTTTTGAAAGTCAGATGAGAATTCTCCTACTGAATCATATCAGAATCTTTGAGGGCATGTATCATTTCAAAAGGAAATTAACTAGTTAAGTTGTGGAAAGGCAGGTTTTAGAACATGTGCTGGATTCTCTCAAATGAGGGGTGATGTGAGTTGCTAACAAACTCTCTAATAGTGTGGATATTTTTTAAGTGTCAAACATATTTCTGGTCACTTTGGTAAAAGTAACTCATTTCTCAAATGGAAAGACTGTAAGCAGCTTTGCCAGAGAGAAGGTATCACACAAGTTTATTAAATCTCATATTTGTTTATGTTCCATCCCCAATCTGATATGCTAAAGCAAAGATATAAGTATTTGAAGATCATGGGAAGTAAAGGAACTCATCATGACAACAAAATAGAAAAATTCCATTTCCTCATATTGATCAGCAGAGTTCTCAAACATGAAGTCAGTGGCAATAAAACCCCTTCAACAAAGGTATGTGAAAAGGACACTATGTTCTATTAAACACAAAACAAAACACTAATTTACATCACTTTACTGTCAATAATATGTTAAATACTACTGTGTAATATCTGAAATATAACATTTAAGGGGTACATATTAAGAGAACGGGTAGCAAACAATTCAGTATCAATTTATGTTATAAAAAATTCCTAAAAGAATAATAACAATTCTGAAGAATGCATAGGAGGCATTTGTACATATACTTTTAAAGCATCCTCAATTTATGATGATTTAATTGAATTTATAAAAAGTCTCCTGGAGATAAGTATTCTGGAAACATTCCAAAGGGAAAAACAAAACAACAAAAATATAAGCTGATACTATGTGCTTTAGTGTTCTACAGATTGTGTGTGTGTGAAGGAGGAAGGGAAATAGGAAGAGAGAGAGAGAGAGAGAAAGAGATAGAGAAAGAGAGAGAGAGAGAGAGAGAGACTAAATATTTCATTAAGACACAAGTAAAGGATTTATTAAAACTGAGGCTGTAAAATGCCAATATAATTTACATAATCTGATACATTTCAGTCATTGTTAAGACTTGGGAAAGTAGAAAATACATATAATAAATAAGATGATTTCTAGGTTTTATAAGCTAGCTGTTTTTAAAAATTGGATGATTCCAGACTTTTAATTTTGTTATGTTTATTCCTTTTAGGAAATAATTTTATCAGTTAAAAATTTTGGTAAGGAGAAATATTCAGATTATATTAAAATTTAAATATTTGAAAATATTTTTACAATGTATTTTAAAATTAATGTTGACATACAATATTACACTTGTAAGTTACTATGATTTTACTGACTATATTCCCTATATTTTATAATACTTCTCAGTAATTTATTTTATAACTGGAAGTTTGTAATTCTTCACTCCCTCTAGCTTTTTCAAATAAAAAATTATGAGCATGCATATTTATATAATTGATATACTTAAACATCCAAAGTATTTAGAATGTTAATAATTATTTGAACATATTTTATTATGTTATTTGATACTGTAAATACACACAAAAATCCATATTAATAAATTTGCAAACATTTTATATAATGTCTGCTATACAAATATAGTAAGTTAATTCATAGACTTCAAGTTAAATTTTATAATATAAAGAAAACATTTACCATTTTATTTAGATATTTTTTATTACTTACCTCTTCCTGTGTTTGTTGTTGATTTTTTAAATATATGTTAGCTACAGATTTATTAAATCCCTTTGACAAAACTTCACTGAATATTTTATCAAAATTAGTAGCCTAATTGAAATTATTTTTAACAAATTAAAATTGAAACAATATTACATGTCAATATTAACATTTTGCATTTTGCTAATTTATACTTTCATGTATTTTGTATTTGATAAATTAGATTTTTATTATATATAATGAATATGATATATTGAAAATTAATATGTATGCATGTTTTAATATGTACATATTTATACTCATTATATACTCAGTAGCTTACTTTTATTAGAATTAGTATTATAATATTCTTATTTACTTAAGCTTTTGGTTTTAAGAATTGTCTAATGTCAATGGAAAGTTTGAGAGAAAAAGAGGAAGAAAAGTAAATATCTATATGTCAGATTTGATAATAGATTGTCCTTCAAAGAAACATTTAGATTTATTTTGATATGCAGAAAGCACCATACTGAATATCATTTACTAAAAATAAATAATTTATCATATTAAAATATTCACCATGTAAATAAATATTTCCTTCATATCTTTAAGGTTGACAACTTTATTGCTCACAACATTTGATAGTATAGAGTAATGCATGATAAATTAAACACCAAATTCTAGAGAAAGAAAAAGATGCAGTAGTGAGTGAAACATACCTCCCAAGAAACAATGTTTCGAATGTTCTAGATGTAAGCAACTTTTCATTTTCCTCAATCTTAATGGTAAAGATGGCAAATTGCTCTCAGACATAGTTGTGTTAGAGAAAGTTCATTATACATGTCACAGGTTTAAAATTTTAGAATTTTTTCTTTCCTTTGTGAAGTGCAAACTAACAAAGAGCTATTCAAAGTACTTTTTCCCCCTATAGTCATTAAAAAAAAAATTTTATATAGTTCAATCTCTGCCTGATGAACACATTCTTACCTGTGTCTCTTCAAGGTCAAGGAATTCTGTGGACATTAACATTCACAATTCACGTCTACCACATGAGAAACGTTAGAAGAGATCGTTCTTACGTCGCTTCTCTGGCTTCTCATCAAAACTGCATGAGCCGCACTGCTCCGAGCTGGGGCTTTAAGTACGCTCATGTCGCTGCCTAATGCTGACCGCTATTTTGGTGTTCGTGTGTAAAACCTCAGACACTGCGCCCTTTGTGTGAAATATCATAAGGTCTCTCTGCTGTCCACTCATCGTCTGGAATTCAAATGCAGCCAGCTCCAGCAAGTAGTATGAGCTGATTAGATATGTTTTTTCCTTTTTTCTAACAACAAAAAGAAAAAAAAGTACTTATTGGTTAGAGGTGATGAAGGGGAGATGCAACTTATGTAAGAATTCTGCAAGTGGAAGGTCATGCCTCTGCTTGGGGTTAGCTGATGAAACAGATGACCGATTTAAAGTTAGCAGGAAAGTGACTAAAAAGAGAAGAGCTTTTCCACTGTGTCTGTGTCTTCTGGCTGCTTCTTAATTCAGTCTTTCTGCTCAGAAATCAGTAACACACACACAGAGAGAGAAGGCAGTGTCTAAAACTGTAATCCTCCTCTTTTCCTGGGCATATTTACTACCCAAATATACTGATTTCATGAAATGTGTAATTAGATTTTGTCATAAATATTATTTATTGTAAAATACATAATATTAAGTGTTATGCTGTTTTCTCAAGCTGTGTTTAGTTAAAAGTAATTTGGACCAGAACTTGAACTGTTTCCTAAGGTTCAATAAGAGGTAACCACTGAAAATTCCTACATTGTAACCAACCACTGAAGAACAAACAGTCCCTGCCCCCTCACTCTATCGGCGGCTTGATAACAATACATCCCTGAGCCACATGCATGTTTCAGTCTGAGTGCTCCCAGTTTACAAACTGTCTTTTTGATGTGCGCACAATAAACTTAGATTAATTCCTAAAAAGGACAATAATTTTCAAACCAATTCAGAGAGAGGTTAAAAATATTGTTACAGAATTTACCAGGTGACCGAAAAATACACAGGAGTACTGGAGGCACAGGAAAAACACATTTATTTCCAGACATTTCACATGTACCGGTACAGTGACTCAGGGGACACTGTTTCTCTCCAAATCCTGTACAAGCCAATAGGGAGGAAGGTTTCCCTGTACACTCTTCCGTTTCTTTGTCCCCAAATATGGGATGGAACTTCGGGACCTTTCCCGGGCTTTGCAAAAAGCCCCTTGTGTTGGGCTGGGGGCTGTAAGACCACATCTAATGGCCTGGCTTGGCGCTAGTGCTGATAACTCTGTCTGGGGTTGTGTATTGTTCATGGTTTATGTCCTCTCTAAAATGGGAGTAGTACTTAGCTAAACAGGTCTTGCAGGGCCAGATAATTAAAGAAGGGACAGTGGCCGAAACCGGTTTGGCTCAGTGGATAGAGCGTCGGCCTGCGGACTGAAAGGTCCCGGGTTCGATTCCAGGTCAAGGGCATGTACCTGGGTTGTAGGTTTGATCCAGGCCTACTCCCTCCCTGTTTCCTTCCTCCCTCCTTCTCCCCTCCCTTCCCCTCTCTAAAAATCAATGAAAAAAATATCCTTGGGCCCTAGCTTACAGTTCCTCATGTTGTGACCCAACCATAAAATTATTTTCGTGGCTACTTCATAACTGTAATGTTGCTACTGTTATGAATCACAATATAAATATCTGACATGCAGGATGGTCTTAGGCGACCCCTGTGAAAGGGTTGTTCGACTGCCAAAGGGGTCGCGACCCACAGGTTGAGAACCGCTGTAAGGAGACAGCATCAACTGGAGTCCTACAATATTGGGACTATAAGCATGTGCATTGCTCTTTTACCATAAGAAGGGAAAGGTAGTTAGAAAAGGGTTATACCTAATGCTGTGAGAATGAAATACAATGTGGTCTGATTTATGCTTGTTTCACTTTTTTGAATTCACAAAAAAACCACACAAATTTTATTAGTTGCCATTTGTTAAATAAATGTTCCATACCTCTGTGACAGTAGTGAGCTTTTTTTTTTTTTAATTGTAGTAGGAACACAACATAAGATCTATGCCCTTAACAAATTTTAAGGTGTACAACACAGTATTGTAAACTATAGGCACAACATTGTACAACACATCTCTAGAACTTTCCTCATCTTGCCAAACATTATACCCATCAACCAACCTCCCATTCCCTCGCTGTCAGGCGCTGTCCACCAGCTTCTCCTCTCTGCTTCTGTGAATGTGACTAACTCAAATGTCTCATGTCAGTGGAATCATTCAATATTTGTCTTTCTGAGACTTGTTCGTTTACTCAGCATAATTTCCTCAGGGCTTTATCCATGTTCCAGAATATGCAAGATATGTGAGAATCTCACATTTTACAGGATGTGGCTTCTTGCTTAGATACAATTTCCAGCCTCACTTTGGATTGCAAGGACACTTTTGAACCTGAGAGGTCACATTTAACATCATGTCCCGAGAGCTTATTTTATGTCATAAAGGAGCAAGTGTGGGCCAGATTGCTACACTGATTGTTTCGATACCTTACAAAATCCACCAGAACTGTTAGAAACTACAATGAGACAGGATTATGTTTCAATAGACAGTCTGGAACTATATGTTTTATTTAGGACACCATTAACAGCAATTTATTATTTCTTTAAATGGAAGATGTTTTTATAAAACACCCATGTAAAGAAACCAACTAGATTTGATTTTCAGATAGCCTCAAAGTACTTTAAAATTTAAGTTACTCAGCAAGGATGTTGTCTGCCCTGGAGGACAAAAGGTGATTCATAGCAGACAGACTGGAACCCAGCAAGTCTTTACAACTATGTCACAACCAAGAATGTAGGCGACAGGACTGATGGGAAAAGGAATCATACCAGCTGAAGCCTTTTCCAGCTATGGGAGGAGAAAGACATTTTGAGGAGTGAATGGAACATGACTGTGTATGAGAGTCTCAGAACGAGTACACCATTACTCAGAGGAGAGTCAAAGCCATTGCACTAAGGGTTTTTGGAGGTCTCCACACCCTACGGGGGTCCTCAAACTACAGCCCACGGGCCACATGTAAATACAAATATTGTATTTGTTCCCATTTTGTTTTTTTACTTCAAAATAAGATATGTGCAGTGTGCATACGAATTTGTTCATAGTTTTTTTTTTTTAAAACCGATAGTCCGGCCCTCCAACAGTCTGAGGGACAGTGAACTGGCCCCCTGTTTAAAAAGTTTGAGGGCCCCCTGAATAGAATAAACACGTGAGAGGTGGACAGCTCCTGAGATGCTGTTTCATAGCTACAGAGAAACATTCTGGTAAGCAACCCACATTCTCATGCAACCTGGGGGAATTCTACCAACGTCATCCACCGGCAGGGTGACCGAGAGAGCCTGAAGTTTCAGAAGCCTTCAAGCAAGAATTGCATTGAGTAAACCTAAGGGTTTGAATTAAAATATAATAATTCATCAATGCTCTGAAGAGCCAGCACTTTTTATAAACCAGATATTTGAGAAATGTACATCTATTGATTAACTGTAGACTGGACCAACTAATAAATCTCAGATACAGTGTAGGCAGGAGACAAAAGCCAAACATCATTCAGATTCTTTGAAGATAAACGTTTTCCTTGAAAATAAATGTTTAAGCAGAAAGCTTAGGTCTACCTGCTTCACAGCCTTGACTATCCAGGTACCTTCCATTAAATATTTAGGTTTCATCCAATCACTGTGTGCAGGATGATAGAATCTAAGGTCTACATCATCACCAGTCTTGGACATAGTATTTCTCAAATTAAAATTATACCCAGACATGTTTTTTGGGGAAAAAAAATGATATATTGCCCTAGCTGGTTTGGGTCAGTGAATAGAGCATCAGCCTGCAGACCAAAGGGTCCTGGGTTTGATTTTGGTCAAGGGCACATACCTTGGTTGCAGGCTCCTCCTGGCCCCAGATCCATGCAGGAGGCAACCAATTGATGTGTTTCTCTCACATCGATGTTTCTCTCTGTGTTCCCTCTCTCTTCTACTCTCCCTAAAAATCAATGGAAAAATATCCTTGGTTGAGTATTTAAAAAAATTGCACTATATTAAGATAGAATAATTTGCCCTGATTGTGTTCTCAGTGGTTAGAGCATTGTCGCGCCCCCCGCCCCAACCTTACCCCTCCACCCCCACACACACACCCTCCAAAGGGTTTTGGATTTTATTCCCAGTTAAGGACACCTACCTGGGTTGCAGATTTGATCCCAGAACCAGACAGGGTGCATGCTGAAGACAACCAATCAATGTGTCTTTCTCACATTGGTGCCTCTGTCTCTCTCCCCGCCTCCCTCTCTCCCTTTCACTCTCTCTAAAATAAATCAATTGAGTATAAACAAAATTTTTAAGGAGATAGGATAATTTGAAAATGTATTTGCTGTATGGTATCACTGTATTCATTAAGATTTTTGAAGCTGCCATATAAAAACTAATACAAAACAAAGTCCCCAAACAGCTTAAAGAATGAAGAAATTTGACACATGCATAGACAGATAGACTTAGGATTAGTTGATTCAGTGACTTCACAATGTAACTAGTTATCCAGGCCCACTTGATCTTTTCTTGTGCTTAAGAGTAAGTAATTTTTTCCAAAGTGCCCCCAAAGCACTCTATGTTTGTGTTATTGACTAAATTAATCACGTGTCCATATGTGAGCAAATTATGCCAAAGAGAAAAGGTTAGAGAACCACTAAGCCATTCCTGCACCAGGAAGTAAGAAGAACTACCTGTTGGAGAAACTTGACTCTATTTATAAACCAACAGCATTCACTGTAAGTATTATTGGTGGGGAGAGGTCTACATCCCCACCTGTTGCTTCTGGGGTGGGCTTCTTGTCATATCTTGAGAAAAGGAATTTTCTGAGACTCACATGGGAGGATGAAGTAGTACAGAAGGCTTTATATCTGTGGAATGACACCCCCTGAGTTCCTAAGGGCCCCTCTCTTACCTACCAACCATGGAAGAAGTGTAGCTGTGACTTCGATAGGGCTAACAGAAAGGCCAGTGTCCGGAGTTCCCGTTCCACGTTAACGCATACTCAAATCCAGCATCAGGCCAGCTAA